GCTTAGGGGCTGGAACATTTGCCTTCCTAGCCTAGGCCCCATGCAGACTCCAGCTCCCAGGATCCCTTGGACCATGTGCTCCTGAGGCTGTGTCCACTGATGCTCCCTCTTCTCACTCTTAAGTATTTCATGTTGAGATGAAAGGCCATGATGTTCCTGACATAGATAAAAGATTTGGTTCCCTAACAGACAGATTTTGAAGACACTGTGTACTTGCTCCTATGGGAACATTTCCTGGGATCAATCTGTGGTGACATTCCATAGTCTTTCTGTCCCCACTAGCTCCTCTTCCAGTCATGAATGATCACCTGACACACATTGATGCTCACTGACAGTGGCCTGCCATGTCTGAAGACACCACATTGGGGCCCTCACAACTGAGGCAGGGCAGACATGCATTGGATAAGGCCTTCCATCAGGAGCATCTAGTTCAGTGGGAGGAACAGGCTCCATGGCAGTGAGTGCCCAGTGCTCTATGAAGGCCACACTGAGGGCTGGGGGTGGGGATGTCATGGTTACTGTGGGAAGGGAGTACCATGTTTGCAAAGAAGCTAGTACATGAATCAGGTAGGCAGAACTTGTGAAGGGAAAGGACTCAGGCTAGGGACACAGCATGACCAAAAACTAAGAGGTGGGACCACATGGGGATTATCAGAAGGACAAGTGATTCTAATTGGCTCGATCAGTGTTTATATGTTGTTGTTGTTAGGTGCCATCAAGTCATTTCTGACCCATAGCAACCCCATGCACGGCAGAATGAAACACTGCCTGATCCCGTGCCAGCTCCACGATCCCTGCTATACTTGAGTCCATCATTGCAGCCACTGTGTCAATCCATCTCATTGAAGGCCTTCCCCTCTTTCGTCGACCTTACACCCTACCAAGCGTGACATCATTCTGCAAGGAATGGTCCCTTCTGACAACATGACCAAAATAGATGAGATGAAGTCTGGCCATTCTCACTTCCAAGGAGCATTTCGGGTGAACTTCCTCCAGGACAGATCTGTTAGTTCTTTTAACTGTCCATGGTACTTTCAGCATTCTTCGCCAGCACCACAACTCAAAAGCATCAACTCTTTGATCTTCCTTATTCATTGTCCAGCTCTCACATGTATGTATACGAAGCAATTGGAAATATCATGGCTTGTGTCAGGTGCACCTTAGTCCTCAAGGAGACATCCTTGCTCCTCAGCACTTGAAACAGTTCCTTCGCGGTTGACTTTCCCAATGCTACACATCGTCTAATGTCCTGACTGCTGCTTCCATTGGCATCGATTGTAGAACCAAGCAATGTGAATTCTTTGACAACCTCAATCTT